CCGTCCCGCCCGGCCTGCAGTGATGCTGCGGAGGAGACACCGCGCTGCACCCCCAGGTAAGTTCGGGGCTGGCGGGATGCGCGTCCCGCAGGAGCCGGGATGGAGCCGGAGGGATGCGGGGCACAGCGGGAAGGAGTGACCCCCAGCCTGCTCCCGCTTGCCTTGCGTGGCTCTCCCCACTTCTCCGCACGCCTCCCTCGGGATCATCTGCTTCTCGTCCTCCGGATCCCGGGATTTTACCCATTTATGGCCACTTTGGATCACGCGGCTGATGCCCGCTCAGCTCCCTGCGGGAGCCTTGTCCTGGGGGCACCGCAGAGGTGCCCACACGAATGCGGTGGCCGTGGGAGTGTGGAGGGGACAGACGGACGGACACGGTCACCCACCTCCGGCCACATCCATCCCGCGTGTCCTGGCAAGGTCCGAGCCCTGTCCGTGCCCAGCCTAGGATGTGACACCGATGGATTGCAGTGGGGTCTATGCGTTTTGGAGGGATTTTAATCCCCTAAATAGAAGGGGACACCATCACTGAGCCAATCTTGGTGGCTGCTCCGTGCTTTTTTTTTTTTTTTTTTTTTTTTTTTAAATAAAAGTGACTATTCCTGGAGGTTTTCAACTTAATTCGCAGGCAAGCCATGGCTTGGTGCGTGTATTCCTTAAGGAAACTGTCTTATAAAAGCATCTGGCTTATCCAAGGGAAGGCTCCGACTTGGCTGTCGCTCCCCTGGGAAAAGCTTGGAAGCTGCAAACTTTGTGGAAGAGGGATAAAGTATGGAATGAGGGAGGTGGGATCGCTGAGGTCTCATGTTTGTTCCCCCAAATGACCTCAGCGTGGGGAGCGTTGCCAGTGGTATTATCCAAACCCGGCGGAGAGATGGGAAAGGTGGAGGGATGGGTAGAGAGATGGGAAAGGTAGAGAGATGGGAAAGGTAGAGAGATGGGAAAGGTAGAGAGATGGGAAAGGTAGAGAGATGGGATGGGAAGAGAGATGGGAAAGGTGGAGGGATGGGAAAGGTAGAGAGATGGGAAAGGTAGAGAGATGGGAAAGGTAGAGAGATGGGAAGGGAAGAGAGATGGGAAAGGTAGAGAGATGGGAAAGGTAGAGAGATGGGAAAGGTAGAGAGATGGGAAAGGTAGAGAGATGGGAAAGGTAGAGAGATGGGAAAGGTAGAGAGATGGGAAAGGTAGAGAGATGGGAAAGGTAGAGAGATGGGAAAGGTAGAGAGATGGGAAAGGTAGAGAGATGGGAAAGGTAGAGAGATGGGAAAGGT